TTTGTCTTTAAGCAGAACTTGCCCCATCACAATGTTTGAGACATTAACTCTTTCAGTCTCTCACACATACCACATGATGTGGTGTTAGATTCCTTCAGCATGGTTTGTAATACAAAAAAGTCATCTTGCTTTTTGTGTGGTGAGATGCATGTATATTGAAGTAAATTCAGTTTCTTTGGTCTAACATTAATTACATTTTAGAGATTCATTTAGAATTTTAACCATTAGCTGTTTCATTTTCTTTAATGGAAAATACACGTGAAAACCCCATGAGATTGCCTTGAAGAGTTTGAAATGGGGTTTAGAGGGAGCTGTGATTTTCAGACATACACTTCTGCAACTCCTAACTTTAGCTCTGTCTGAATTTGCACATAAAATGTCTTATTTTTGCAGCAGATGGTGAATCCACCCACACATTAAAAAGAGCTTCATCAATGCCTAAGTATGGTATAGAAATGCAAAAAAAAAAAAAAATGCTAGGTAGTTGTGAAACGTGATTTATACCTGTTGTTCTGTGTAATGCAATCACAGTTTTCATGTGGAAGTTCATGAAAGTACAAAAGATGAGGGCAGGCTAAATCCTTTTATTGTTACAGAATCTGTAAATGTCTGCCTGGATGGAGAAGGGAAAGGACAAGAGAATTAGGTGTTTGTTTGTGTTTATTTGTTGGTTGTTTTTTTTTGTTTTCTTTCTTCATTTTAATTATTTTTTAAATTAATTTTAAAACATCTACCTCTTGTTTTTCCACAAAGAATTTCCAGCCAAGTGCAGTGATTAAAAAGTTTTTAAAATTATGTTGCATTATGGAAGTCTAATTGTACAAAAGCAATTTATGTTACTGTTTAAAACATAAAAGCACACAGTGCACATATAGTCAAAAGAGTGATAACAGAATTTGATGGTTTTTGGGGTAATATTTCTTTGGATACCATTGCTGAATTTTTGAAGGTTGTTTCAACAGCACTTAAAAATAAGTGTTTTGTATATTTCTGCTCTATGTCAGTTTGACTGACCGCATAATCAATTTCCTGCTGGCTTTATCTACAGAAATGAATGTATTCTGCAAAAGGACTTCAGAGTCCCACTTCAAAAATGCCAGAGTCATTCAACATGGAGTCAGCAATACATTTGAATTTTCCAAATGCTGTGCGATAGAAGCAGTGCTGTCTGGCTTTGGTTTTTTTGTTTGTTTATTTCAAGAGATGCTGCTTTGGGCTTTTTTCTCTTTACATTATCTTGTACTTTGTCATAAAAAGGAAGGCATTCCACTGGCTTCAACAATCCCTTGTATATGGGAAAATGTGAACTGTTCTGGCCTCAGACAACATGAGAAATACTTATGCCAGTAATGTCAACTCGAGCCGTCACTAGGTTTTTTCTAAGAAGACTCGAGCTAGTACTGAAAGTGTTGGGTGGAACTCCTGCCACTATGCAGCTTTCTCAACAATATAAAAGTTAAAATGTACAAACTGACTTTTCACAGGAAACAACACGGGCAGCTCAGGGGACAGTTTTTGGCTTTCGAGCTAACCTAACGTAGCAGCTGGCTGCCATTCCCATTTTTGGCCCCAAATCCTTACACGATTCATCTGACCTCATCATGAGCCAGGTTAGGGAATAAGTTGTTACCATCCCTACAAAACTGAAGTTTACCACTTAATGCCCCTGAACTCTGCCACTGCTGCCAAGGCAAGCATCAGCACTGGTGCGAGAGGCTGGAAACACACAGCTAGGAATTGGGAAGATACAATGGCCTTGGCCTCGGGAATCGGGAAGATAGGGTAGCGGTTAACCATCATCTGTGTTGTTCAGCCAGGCACCTGTGGAGCATGTAGCCTGTCGTTTATATCCGTGTAAGCCAGAACAGTGGTGATCCTCTCCTTGCTCTTCCCTTCCTTTTCCTGGTGCTGCTGTGACACCCAGAGGGACCACTTCACAATGTTGAACAGGGAAACTTACCATGCAGAACAACATGAAGAATTTTCTGTTGGCTCAGTTCTGTATTGGGTTTCTGAAAGATTTCAAGGAAAAGCCACTAGAAGATGGCTTATTCAGAGCTTTTCACGACTCGCAGGAGGAAACACAGGTCCTTGCTATTAATAAGGATATCACAACTGTGACTATAATGATTTTGAATTCCTGAATGTTACATAAAGTGTTAATTAATTTGCTGTGAGAGAAAAAAAATATGTCTCTTCTTGGCATTCATTCCTTTTCCCCATTATTCCACATTTCCTATCCTTCCACAGTACTGCTGTTTTGACAGATTTGGTAGGATAGAGGAAGGTTATTGGTTGCCTTCTAGTTATGCTTTTTCTTTTGATTTGAGAGAACAGTGAGTATATGTGACTGAAGGTATTCTGTTAAATGCTTACAAGTGGTGCTACATTGGTTGCTCAAGTGACTGCATCTCATACTTAATAATTAGCTGTAGGATGAACATCTGATGGGCAGACCACTTCATGCTACCACTACCATGCCACACTTCTGAGCTGTGGGAACAACCACTACAAAAGTGTTGGAGCCTGCAGTGGCTTCCTTAATTAAAATCCTTCCTAATAGTTCAGTAACATCCAAGTCTTAACAGGGCAGGAGTTAGAAGAGCCGTGAGGTAAGAGCTACAAAGCAGTTCATATTGGGCAGCAGGGAGGCAAGAGGCTTACACTACTGTACACCAGCAGTAGTAGTCACCTGATGGTAAAAGGGGTCCTCAGCATTTTCTATCTTGCTTACAGGGACAGTTTCATTAACGTACCCATCTATATATGTACTGTACATTTCGCGTCCTCAATCAGAGTGAGGTGTTTCATCTCGCCCATGTGTTATTGGTACAGTCTAGAAGCCGTACGGCCTTCCTTGGAGCTTCTTGAACATGTGAAGCAGCATTTGAGGCGACCCGTTTGGATCAATGCGGACATCCTACCAGGACCTAATGGAAATAATGCTGTAGTGGATGCAAAAGGGTTCCTTGACACTGTCTCTTCGTTTTTCCCAACTGTAACCTTATCGCTGGGATGGACAACTGGCTGGCACCCTGACAAACATAATAAAGGTAAAGATAGAAAATGTAATGCTTACACTGCATAGTTTATTTTCTTCAAATGTATTTCATAATTGATTGAAAATAAGTTATATGCCACCTGGTCAGTTTGAAAATAATAGTGAGTGTGATAAGAATTATTTTCTTTGTTGGTGTATATTTGATAGTGTTTTATAGCAGTTACTTCAATGTATCAGTTGCAGTAGAACTGCATAAAAAAATGATGTTTTTGTTGTTAAACAGGATTTTGTTCTTCAACTCATTCGCACATATTGAGGAATTTTGGGGGACAAATTGCTCACGCCTTGTTTCAGGTAGTCTGCTCCCTGAATCCTAGGAGGATTGGTTCAGTAATCAGAATTGTGGCACATTTCCTGAAGAAAAATAGATTAGGTGGAAATGTAAAACCCTATCAGTGTGCTTTTGCAGTAGATAACTGAAATCAAATTCTAGATCAACATTGTTTTTAACATTTCATTTCTGTTGAATAATTGAATTTTTGCAATAAGTTTTCCAATTTATTGATGTTAGTAACTTTCTAAAATCTCAGTTTTGAGAATCTAATTGAGGTTTCTTATTGTTAGTCCCTGACTTGAATTTAGATTCTGAACGTGTAACCATTATCTTAGGGTCCTTTCCACAGGATTCCTCTCATAATTCTCATAGCTGCTTTCTTAGGGTGTTTCACTCCAGTGCACATGCATTTGTGTGCAGTGGCATAGTCCCTGCCAATATTGTCTCTGACTACAACGGCAAAATTGTACACCTTTCCAAATTGCTAATTGTTTATCAGCAAGTTTTAATACTGTGTTACGAGGGTTTTGTTGTCTGTTATAACGTAATTTTATTAAACTGTGTAGTACTTTGTCCAAAGTATTTTCAGTGCAGTAAAAAGTTCCTGGAAATATGTACTGGAAATATTGTACTGAGTCATCTTTTTTAATAAATGTAACTTTATCTCCATTCTAAATTTCAGTTTATGGTGATGCTAATTAAGGATATGCTGTAAGACACGAGAAAAACAGCTTATTTGACTGATTTCAACTACAAGTTGCTGTTTGTCCAACAAAACCTGTTTTTTTAAGATTTGCTGCTTTAAGTCTTTTCAGTCACAACATTGCATATGAGTACTTGAGAAAAAATTACTAACAGTTGTTACTGAAGTTAAGATTTTTGTAGCCTGTAGAAATAAGAGAGTATTAAATACCATTTTAACTAGCTCCAGTACTTGTAAAAATCTCAACAGCAGGCAATTCAAGCATTTTAGATTGCTCGATTTTAGCATTTTTTAAGTACAAAATTTTTTACATGCTTTATTTCTCTATAATTTCAAGTCTTCTATTGCATTAATTCCATTTTTTTTCTAAATTTTTCAAAATGTTTCTGTTTTTTAAGGGTCACTATCAAGTTAAAATTAGTCCATGTTGAAGTCAATGGCAACACTGTTTTTTAGAGAGAGAGCAAAGATACAATTTCCTGGACATTAGAAAATGTCACATTCTATAACTGTATGTAAAATAACACTGCAATTAATAGAAATAAAGATTTTCAGAATAAGTTTATTTCTTGATATCAGTATTGCTTTTCCCCTCTGGGACAGTGACATTTTGTATTTATAATGATTTACTGATTTAATTTTAGAGTTATCTCATTTTCACAAAACCCATGTTTACCCTTGTATTATCTTGCAGCCTAAGCATTCTAGAATTTATTGTGTCTTTATAGAGGTTGTATTTGTGAAGAAATCTTTTTAATCAAATGGTCTTTATTGTAGGCTATGATTGGATGATGGTGAAAGAAATGGCTCAGATATGCAATAGACTTTCCCAGCCTGTAACTTTCCCTGTAAGAGCAGCATTAGTACGACAGTCAATATCTCAGCTGCGTTGGTTAATGCAACAGTCGGATAGGTAAGTTTGAGGGCCTTTATTTTTATCTGTCTTTATTACAAAGGCACGTAATTGTTTATATTAAATGTAGCACAGTTATGTGTACATACTTATCCCAATTATGTTGGAAATACTTTTTCTTCTGAATTATCCCTTCAGTTTTTTAATTCCTTCAGTTCTTACATTGTGTTGTCATACAGAAGTGGTCACTATTCATTTCTTTAATAAAATTCCAAAAGCCTGTTCTAAAATTACTTAATATAGGTAGAGAATCTTATGTCAGTTTGTAATCCAGTTGCACTCTGAGCATTTCATAAGGCTAATGTAGTTTAATAGACCAAGTAGTTGGATGTTGCAATTTGGAATTAATTGAATTGAAATACTTACATTTTATAGATACTTTTTATTGGATTCAGTATTTGTATTTTCTGAAATAAAGTGGCGTAAAAACATTAAAGGTAATTCTTAGGTTGGAAGTTAATGAGTGTGTTATGAAGCTGATTTTGCTTAGGTACTTGAGGTACATTCAGTGGTTTCCAAACACTGACTTAATATTTCCTTCTAAATATAGTTCTTACAAACCCATAACAATTTCATATGAAAAAACTTAGTTACATGTAATAGAATGAGAATAAAACCTGCTTTGTACGTACTGTGTTTTGCTAATCTTTTTCACCTACTCTGTCTAGCTACAATTTAATAAAGTTGTTCCTTAAACACCAACCAAGGTCAAAGACCAAGAAAGAAAAATTAAGACAGTGACTTGTATGGAAAATGTCTAAGTAATTAGAGACAACAGGGTGGAAAAAATAAAGTGCTTTTTTTCTCATTTATAGTGGTGAATCAAGAAATTAGAATTAAACATTTGAAACTGGGAAACTAATTCCAAAATATTATGTTAAGAGTATGTCTTATGAATTGTGCCATTCTCAAATATGTCCTCATTGGATACAAGCATTATTTCCACTGAAATACTAGAATTTTCTCTTTTACCTCAGCATAAAAATCCTGATTTTTCTTAGTAGCATGATTAGAAGACAGAAATTCCTGAGCCAGTTTTGCTGACATACAACTAAATTCTGATTTTCTGTATTTTAGATTAATACAGTTTCAATAAACAAAGGGGAAAAATGAAGTATTTGTCATGTGGAGACTGTGGAGGGCAGTGCTTTTAACTTTAAATGATACTTTGAAGTTCTTCAGGTTTTTTTAAGAGTTCTATAAAGTCGATGCAATTAATGAGAAAAGTGTGTGTGATAAAGTACAGAAGATACATTCAGTTTATCAGGTGGCATTACTACACATCACGTAGGTGACAAAACACAGAGAATGAAAGTCATGTGCGACTGAGATTGCCTCATACTTTCTGTTACAGTGCTCTGCTTGTAACTATTTATTACTTTGTCAAACTTCAAATGCTCAGCCTGGTAAATTTCTTTGCTGGATATCTGCCTAAGATTTTTTTATTTTGTTCCTTGCTAGGTTTGGCAGAACAGTTCACACAAGGACCAGGCTACAGATAAATTGTTCTGGGTGGTTTTAGGATTGTCCACCTTAAAAATTTTGCAGTCCTCCTTGGGAAGTTCCAGCAAGTTTAGCTCTAGGAGCAAGAATGTGAAGTTTGACTGGAGCCAAATTGTGTGACTTAATGAAGAACTAAAAAATGTGTCAAAGGAATAGACCTCTGCAAATTTTAGTTTGCATGTGTCAAATAGTGGTTTATTTAAAGACTATCAGTAGTATTCTTCAGCTAGTCTGTCTGTACCAAGCATTCTGTGTGCCCTGTGTGCAAACTAGGATGTGTTTGATCATGCCTGTTTCTGCGGGTAGCGTTTTGATCTAGCAATTGTTTTTCCCAGGAACTTGAAGTCACTGTGGTAAGAAGATAGGAGAGACTCTCCATGCTGTCGGTTTTAGCACAAATGCAGGGTAGAGGGTGATGACTTACCTGGATGTAGAGGGGTGGGGAGGGCAGGGACATATAAAACTGTTAATTCTGATAGTTCGTAAATAGTGGTTGCTTAACTTTGAAATGTGAAGGAGATTAAGTTTTTTGGTATTTAATTACATTGCTAAAATTAAGATAACCTAGTCCTAAATATTTTTAGGAGCTTATTAGTGCAACATCTTTCTGTCTTACATGCTTTGTCTTAAGATAATAACATATTCTTTTCTTCTCTTTCTCTCTTTTTTTTTTCTTTTTTATTTCCTTTTTTTTGATATAGATACAGCCTCACTGTTTGGACAGGAAAGGAAGATCTGTATTCTGTAGAAGATTTGCTTTACATCCGAGAAAACTTTGATAAAAGTAGGGTTTATTATGACATCTTAGAGCCACAGAATTCTGAATTCAAAAAAGCCATAGGAGTAGAATAGTAAATACAAAGCAGGCAAACTCTGACCTTATAATACTTAGCCTCGTTAAACATGAAGATTTCTTGTTCAGGGAAATGTATTTTCCTTCCCGAAAAAAATGTGTAAAATGCAGCCATGGTCACTGGAGGTGTTTTTGTATAACACTTTATTGAATGGCTTCTCAAATAGAAATTTAATGCCTTCTTTAATAGGTCAGAATTGTTACTTACTCGTAATAGGCATGTTCCCTCTCATTCACCCAGTGGTGTGTAGTAAAGGCTACTCACGTTACTTAAATACACTGGTACTTCTTCCCTGCAAGCATATAAAGGGGAGAATGGCCCCAGGTGATAGTTGTGGACCAAGGTACTTTGCTACTATCTGCTTTTGCATAAGACAAAATCTACAGGACACTCAGTCTCTACCAAAGCCTGTTTTCGGTTTTTATAGGGGAGGGCAAGAGTCAAGACTGTATTAAATACAGAACTATGCAGTTCCGAAAGGGGTTATTTTGTAGCTCATCTTGATACACTCCATTTTTAATGCCACTGCAATTGATAATGTTCTCACTCCTGGCTAACAGAAGATTCTGTTTGCTGAATGTGGAGAGTAGGATCTGTAATGCTGCACATTCCAGGGAGAAAGAATGGGGTTTTTTTCTGAATTATAACCGATCAGGTTCTCTGTAACCTGGTGATTGTGCGTTCCACACCATGGCTTGCCTCTGTGCTTTCTGAGCCATCAGCAGCATAGTCCTTGGATTGTGAGAAGGCTGAGTTGCAGTTGTAGCTGCACTGTAGGAGGTGCTGGGGCAAACAGAGCCCCCAAAATGAAGAATAATCCTGTCCTGTACCTAGAGCACAAAGATGGATTACAGTGAGGCATACATCAGACAGCATCAAAAGAGCTATAGTGTTCCATAAAAGAGAAGTGCTGGTGATTTTTTCAAGAGTTTGAAACTAAATTTTAAGTATAACAGGAGTTAGGTAAAACATTCAGCTGCAGTCTTTCTGAAAGCTAGAGGCTCTAAGAATGAAATAGCTGTACAGTGATTAGTGCTTACAGCAAAAATTATACATTTCCTTGTTAGCAGTTATTTTCTACGTTCTTCTAGTTTGTGCACCTTTTTAATTCTCAGAATACAATTTCACAAATTTTCAAAAGTAGAACTTCCCTTTGAGAAAAACTAAAATCATTGCAACCCTGCTTATCACCCTGCAGGAAGAGTCTGACCTGTTTCATTTGAAGCATTTTGTGCTTCTTCTGCTTCTACATCCCTTAAAATTAATACAGATACTGACATCTGTGCAGATTGAGACACAAGCTGTGTGTTCTTGCCTTCTGCCAAACAGTACAAAGGCTTTTTTTCACAGTGACAGAGGAGATTCTGATTTCTAAATGAAAGCTGATTCTAGGAAGAGACTTGTTCTCCTTTTCCCACTCTTCTCACATGCTTCCTGCAGGAATTGTGTTAACTTTGATGTTTTACACAACGCTGGACAGGCTGTTAGTACTAAAGAGTTAAATACAGCAATTTTTGGTTCTTACATAGCATTAGTACAACTGTGATAGAAAAGTTAGTTGTATTTATTAATCCTAAATCTTGAAATGTGGTGATTTCATGCAGTCATTAAAAATCAAGATTCCTGCTTGTTACCTACATTCCTTCGCCAGGTTTATCTAATAATTGTTTTACGTTCTTGAGGGGTAGAACTTTCATCATTTTTGTTACCTACTAAGATACAATATACTTGGATAAAATTAGGAAATATTTTTCCAAATAAGGAAAATAACTATCTAGTTGGAATAGTTAAACAGAGTACTTAATTTAATTTACACAGTCAGTCAGTGTGAATTGCAGTAACCACCAAAAGGTCAAGTTTGGCAGTGTGATTGCTTTTAATGAATTGGGATAAATTACGTATTTTTTAGTTCACTGTGACAACATGATCTGATCTGAACAGATTTAACCTCTCAATTCATTACAGCATCGCTTTCTTTGAGCTTTGCATGCACACTTTGCTATACCATGGGAGGAAGAGAGGTTAACTGCTTCCTAACTGATCACAACTATGGAGAACATTTTAAACTCTTCAGAGACCCTTTTCTAACCCAGATCATTTTGACTAAAATGGGTTCAGGCGCTACTGCCTGAACATGTGTGCTAGCACATCTGATCACACGGTATCCTTTTCTGGATGGTGACCCTTTCACCAAACTCCCCTTCAGGGAGAACAGGATATATGAATGACCAAAGCTCCAGTTAAACCAAAGTTATAGACATTGCTTTGAATCTATAGTACATAAAATAAACTAGTAGGAAATAGTGTAGTTCAGAGGTTTTTATTTTCTGGATTATACCATTGAACAAGAAGCACTTAGGGGACATCAGCCAGCGTTTGGAATCAAATGCAACGTTAGCAAAATGAGTCAGGCAGTGTCTGAATAACAGAATTTGCTTTTTAGGGATGTAAAAGAAGCAGCTCGAGAACACATCGCTGTAGCCATGTTCATTTATTGAATGAAAGGTGTCATTAAAGAGCATTGATTTTTTTGTATTATTCTTACTGAACACTTTATTAGTTCTAGGCTTAGTCTAGATTTCTTTTCAAGATATTGCTGGTCATTCAGAAGCAGCAATACTTTCTAGCCATACATTTATTTTCAATAGATTTAAAGACAAGTATCTCGTTGTCCTTTTGCTCCACAATTTATGTAAACGTTTAGGACTGGAAGGGACTCCTAGATCTTGTTTCAGCTCCTTGTTGCAGGCAGTTACATTTACTGTCCTAAGGGATTTCGTCTTTCAGTGGGTTAGGCCTTTTTGTGTCCACACTGGCAAACTTTTCTGTTACTTAGAAACTTTTTCCCACTTACCAATTCTGACCTGAAGTATTAGGATTTGTTAAAACTGGTTAAACTATTACGTAAAAAAAAAATCAGTGCTTGCCAGAAGTATTTTTAAGGGTACAGACTTCATGGAAGAAATATCACCGAGTACTATATGTGGGTGTGAATAAATGGGGATATTCAGATAAAATTAAAAGAAGACATGATCTGGATCACCAGAAAAATTAATTAAGGTAACAAGACATGTAAAACTAGATTAAACAAAATGCTAGAAATTAACTCTCTGAAGCATTCTTGCAGTGACAGAAGGGTTTGACTGTATGGTGAATTTGATTATTCTGTATGGATTATCCTACATATCTGCATTTCTGTATGTATTTTTTATCCATGGATCTCTGTTAGTTTCCTGTGAAGTCGTTTCTGTTGTTCATGTCAGTCTGGGCTGACTTTCATGTAAATAAATTCATTTGAATTTGTTTCTCTGTTTTCATGCCAGTCTTCATGCAAATGCTCTGCTTCTGAAATAAGTTGTGTTAACTGTGGGGCTGGCAATAAGATAATAAAGCTGAGGTGAAAGCCAGTTATTTACTTGGTTGGAAGCGGGGATCTGTGGCAGGGCTATGTTACTCTAGCTGTTGCTGTCTCTCTCTTTTTTTTTTTTTTTAACCTTCTGTCAAGGATCTGTTCCTTGTACTTAGAACTTTTTTTAGGATCTATTAATTCTGCCACCTCTTTATGGAATCGTTTTCTCTCTCACTGTTGGCTCATGTCTGTTGATCTCTTTCAGCCAGGTCTTCAGACTTAATTGTCCTTGTTACATGAAAGATCTGGTTGACTTTAATGGAATTAGGTATTGTTCAGCATGTGCAGGTGAATTAATTGATTTATAAAACATTTCTAACTTACTGCAGGTGTAGTTCATGCTTTGTAGTTTTCTGTGAATTTGATGGAACTTAATAAATAAATAACGTTACAGAAAAGAATTGGCATCATTGGTCATGCACAACTACTCAATAATATCCTGCAGTAACATGTAAGTACACTGATTAAACCAAAACAGAAGCTAATATTCTGAGGTTTGTTTTGTTTAAATGTTTTATGGAATCGAAGAAAATGCCCCCAAAGACACATTTACCAAAAGCAGTTCTCCCCATCTTCATCTTCAGCATTCATTTGAAGAACTACTCAGTTTTGCCCTACTCTGACTGCAAAAAAAACCGCAGTCTTTTTCTTCAGTTAAAACCTTCAAATAAAAGCCTTTTGTTTTATTTATCAGCCAGCTGTCTGTGATCAGGCCATTTGCTAATGTTACCACAGACTTATTTCTGCACTGTCCATTAATGTTTGAGTCTGAGCACTGTAAAGCTTTCACTTGTGGTTTTTATTGTGCTTTGTCTGATTCCAGCACCTGGCACATGCTATCTTTTGTGCAACAGCCCCAGGAAGCTGTATTTTAACCTCCCAAGTCCCATTGTGCAGAACTGGGTTTACATAACATCCACTTCTGCAGCCCACCATCAGGAATTTACATTATTGGTGATGAAGAAGACAGAGCTAGGGAATTGCACAGAGAGACTTTATAACTCATTTAATAACTTGGTGATGAAATGGCCCTGTCCTTCCTTTTCTCTAAGAAAAAATACAGAATTTACAGTGTTGGGGAATTAAAAATGTTTGGGCTTGTTTGGGTTTTGTTTGTTTTTTAAAGGTTAGGGAGAGCCTATTAGAGTATTATGAATTGCATCCTGCATTATATCCAAGAGTCAGGGGAGCTTTTCCATAGATTTCTATGTTGTTCTAAAATTTCTTTCACTTGATTTAAAATTTTTCAATTTTCAGAGGGTATTTCTTTTAATAAGGGTAAAACTACTAACAGAAGAAAAGATATTAGGAAGTGTTTGGACAATTTTTTGAAGAAACATTTTTTCTATAAGCTTTATATTAATTAGAAACCTTTTTCTATCACAAAACTACTTAATTCCTTGAAATTTTAATTGAAACCCGAATTTGTATTGTTGTGTTTTGGTGTTCACAGACATTTCTTCTTTTATTTGGTTTTTTTTTTGTTAAAGGAGTACCTGTTTGCCTATGCAGTGTGACTCCCTGATACCTAGGCTTATCTTCTATGTATCAGCTTGTTACATTTACTGTCAGTTTTACCAAGAGTTTTATCTATAAATCTTGTACTAACTTATATGTAGAAGTGGGGCTGCTGGATAACATCCAAGCCAGGGGAGTGTATTAGTCTTCAGTTCTTTGCCTCACTTCTGGGGCATTGCTGGATGAGTTTTGGCATATGTCTTTGCAGTGAAGTAATCTGTTACTACCTTCTTCTAGCTACAATTACTTCTGACATGTCTTTACTGCAAATTACTGTAATTATTGTATCATTAACCTTTTAGTAGCATGGTTGAAGGAAATACTCACTCTATATTGCAGTTACTCCAAATTGTACTGGGGCATTAAGGTCTGTGTTCCTTACACAGGAGCAGTAACTTCTGACAGATTGGTGCAATAAGCAGCAGGGGATAACATAGACTGCCACAGCAGAGCTTATTCATCAAAACCTGTAATAAAGAAGCATTATTTTTTTATTGTGTTTCCAGTAAAATTCAAAGTATTGTACTCTATCATCTTCTGAATTTGAACATCTAAATTTTTGGAGCAACTGTATGTTGTTTTTTAATATCTGTGTACTTTGGCTTGGTTCCCTTGAATTTTTCAGTGATCCTTCTGTCATTATAGCTGTTGCTTTCACTGCCTAATTGTGATTCCTCTCATTGCTGCAGTAGAAGAAAAAAAAAAAAATTGCATATGCAAATTCATAATCTCAATGGGGATCTGTCCAAGCAGAATTAAAATGTGTTTTAAAAAGGTGTTCTCATTATTGTGTTTTTTAAATGTATGTACAGGTCAAGTTTGTATTTTAAAATGGACTAGCTTTTGAGAGAGAAGGCTGTGTAACCTGTGCCATCTGTGGCAGCTCGTGAAAGTGTTCAAAATTGCTAGCTGATGCCTTCAGGGAAAAAATACAGGAATTAATTACAGTTCATCAGCACACACCTGCATCTGGATTTCAGAAATTTGGGAATAAACTGGACTGTATACAATTCTAAAAAAACCCATTCACTGTTCAATTTAAGATCTTCATGTGTTTTTTAAATGGCTGAACATAAATTAATTTTTCTTTCTGCTTGGGACAAAATCTCTGAATTAACATTAGATCTACAGTGCAGTGCTACCACAGGAGATGCCATCTTCCTGGTTAAATTTAAAATAGTGGTTTTGACTTCACGTTGATAACTCTCGAGTCTTCTGGTGCTTCCTTACATGTTGAACTGTTGACACCTTGGCTTCCTGAATCCCGGTTCAGATGAGCAGCATGGCTGAGGCAATCCCTCGTTTGAGCTGGAGGTTGGACAAGGCCTCCAGAGGTTCCTTTCAGCCTAGACCTTTTTTATGATTTATTGACACATTTCACCTGCTACATAGTACATACTACCATACAGGATTAATATGGATGCAGGAGGGGTTTTAAGTAAATCTTCTGTAATTCCTATAGTTCAGTTATTACAAACTTACTTTCATCTTTGTTGAGCTTTAACATATACTTGCAAGGAATTTAAGTAAAGAATTTGTACAAAGTTACTGAACTGCTCCTGTCACCAGAGTGCCTTGGCCCCTGATCAAAATCCTCGGGTTCAGTTGCCCATTCTGTACCGGCAGAAATAAACAAGTTTATGTTTTAATTGTGTGAAATGCCAAAGCCAAGGACATTCCTACATGGTCTGTGCTTTCTTTCAGCCAGCTACACACACCATCAGCCAAGGAGATGCCTGTCTCAGATAACAGGTGTCCCTCTTTGAAGAAGAGGAATTTTGCATATATATGTATTTTAAAATAAGGTTAACTCGTGTAAAGGACCATAAGACCTGTTGTCTTTTAAAAAGGATTAATAGCTGGGTATTTTATCAGAACAATTAGTCACAAAAATTGGAATTTTATCCCTTTCACTCTGAAAAAAAAACAGCCTGAGTTTTCTTAAGATGTATCCTTATCAAAGCTGATCTCCTTGAAGGTGCTGCAGTGCCAGTAATAATTCAAGGTGAAAATGTGGGAGCAGGAAACACTGGGAAATATTTTACAAGAGGCATTCCTCCCGCTAGTTCTGGATTTCAACATTAATTAAAAAAAAAAAAGCTTGTCCCTTTTATGAATACAGTGTGAACGTTTTTAGTAGGGTGGCTAATTGTGACTAATGTTAGCCTTTCTATAAGGAGCCATGCTCTTGTTACATGAACAAAATAGCCAACTAAATGGAATAATGGTTTACTTTTATAAATGCCTGATTTTAGTTGGAAAATTAATTAGCTGTACTGCATAACAGATGCAGAAAGACTAAGGCCTTATTAAGGACTGATGAGGAAAAAAAAGAGGAATTTAATGACTGCTTTAGTTTAATATTTTTCTCGTGTAGCTGCATCAAATTATGGCAATACTTTTTTGGAAGTGCTGCATAATTGTAAAAGACAAAAATCAAAACAAAGCAACTCCAAATGCCTTTCTCCTTAAAGCAAAAACAAACAAAAAGCGTGGGGAAGGATATTTTGAAAACTGTACTTTGAACACCACAGCTTAAACACAGCCTTGAAAACTGCTTTTCTACAGCATTGTGTAGTGACTTGCTGTTCTTAAATTTCTTAAACTGAAACTTCAGGTTTTTTAGATGAGCACTGTTTTTTGTGAGACCACCACTATTTGTCTAGAAGTTACTTTTGTTGTATGGTTTCACAGCATTTTGCAGAGAAAATGGAAACCAAAAGTAAAAAAATGTTTTTCACCTTTCTAAACGTACCACATAGATTAAAAATCAATAATCTCATAGGTAATGTGTTTTACTGAAAGCTGTAACTTACATGGAAGGCATGGTTGCTCACAGAAGTGGCACTTCCATTTTATATAGTTTAAACGTTTAAGCATTTTATGCCATTATTCTTTCTACAAGTTAGAGTGGATGAGCTTTGCTAATTTTTCACTGTAAGGTGCAAGTCCAGATTGTTCTCTCTGGATGGGAAGCCACAGCTCTTAGAAGAAAACTAGCAAGGAAGAAGTTTCAGCTTGTGGTGATTTCTTTATCAAGATGCATCAAGAACACCTGAAAGGTATTTTGTTGTTTGTGAAGTTCAATGTTTCGGGCGGGGGATTAACATTAGGAATTCAGGTCTTGCTTCTCATTCTTTGCTTAAAAGACATTATGGATGACTGGAAAATGACAAAGATTAAGACTTCAAAGATGGCAGAAGTGTATCTCCACTGAAGTGGGACCACAGTAAGCTACCGACAGACAGAAAAAGCTTCTCTCACACAATACTTTGTACAAATTTAGCTATGTTGGATTAAATCTAATTAACTGTTCCAATTTTCCTCTATAGAGACAGCCTGAGAAACACTTAAGAGTGAGTACCTTTGGTAGTGACTCAGCGTCTCCTAAGTGGTGAGTAAAAGGATGTGTCTATGTCCATATTTCCTGAATGGGGGAAAAAATAACTTTTATTTATGCATTGTAGCAACATCAAGAGAACAAAACTGAATTGTTTTTCCTTTGAAGGTCACTTGTAACATTGATGCAACAATAAACATTAATGTTAACCTTTCACATTACTTCTGCATCAAAATTAAGCACAAAATACTGGCAACACTACAGAAGAACTTCACTTCTCAAGACATTTGCCATTTTCCTCTGTTTTCTAAGCATTTTGTAAAAAAAATACTGTTCCGGTTGAGGGAGCAGTAATCCCATACATGTAATTAATTTTAAAACCAATACAGCAGAAATCAGGCTTTGTACCTTCAGCAAAGATACCAGTTAGAACATCTGATCTCGTGATTTTTTCTAAAAAAAGAATTTGTATTTTTTTAAAGATATGTTTTTAGCTTCAAATATTTAACTTCATTATGAGATGAACAGACTACAAATTGCCAATTCCATTTATACTATCATAAAAACATTTGAAAAGTATATTGTGTTTGTATGTGGTGTTTGTAGGGACCAATTTGTACCCAGTTAATAATTTAATATTGGCATATGTTGTTCCACATAATTTATCTGCCATAAAAAGATTTCCATGTAATCCTTGTTTCTACCTGGTATATGCAGAAGCTGATCCAGCAACATCTCCTGAAGTAAGAGATAGAACCTGAATCAAATACTCCATCATCTTCACTACGTTTCCATGGGTATTTAATAGCTCTTAAGATGTACATAACTTCACTTTTGAAACTTTCTCATTTTTGGATGCTTAATGTGCCAACTCAGGTGTTTTTTTGTTTAACATAACATTCTTGTTTGTGTATGTACAGAGGCTAGAGTTTGCCAGCCAATCCATAAATGACCAAGAGTCTTTCAGTGAATGAATAGTCCATCTCCAGTTAAAAAAACCCAACGTTTTTGTGACTGGTACTGATTGCTCTTGAGGGGTGAGAAACAAAACAAGTGTGACAATTGTATCCGAGTAAGTCAAATGCAATAGCGTAGTGCAGCTCGCTGTGGGCCTTCCTAGCTGTCACCAGGATGCTACGCGTCCCAGGTTAGCAGAGCTGTGACGGGAGGAGCACAAAGGACACCACAGGTTTCAAGACCTGTATTTTGTGGGGAAGAATTAATTTTGACAGTTGCAATACAGATTTGCCTCTTTGCTTATTCTGGCTACCTTTGAGATCTTGGCCAGAGGATCAATGGTAAGATCATCTGCCTTCTAGCACTCATCACTAGAGATTGGAGAGATTTTGCTGCAAAATTGTTTTCAAGATTTAAATTTGTAGTTTCAGATCAGCACTTGATATACAGCTACTCTCTTGTGTAGAGATGTAAACCATACTCCTTTACTTTCTAGATGTCAGATGTGCCCTTCTTCAAAATGTGCATCTTATGAACTTTTGGACATTTTTGTATTTTTACATAAAAAGGTATTTACAGACACTGTACGTTTATCATCCACTTGAAATCATCTTACACTGAGGACAAAGCTAAATAACATCACAGTTATTTGTTAGGCAATGTCAGACTGGGTGAATTTTGACTGAACCTGCAAGAAGGCAGATAGTACCCACTGTGTATTTTCTGAAAAACGGTATCTCGTTTCAGTATACAGAAATTCACATTATACAGACACAATTTCAAAACAATTAATTTCTATAACCTATGACAAAACAGAACACATTCAGTATTTCTCAGTCTCCAGAAGATGAGTTCTATAATCCTAAATGCAATACCAGAAATCAAGCATCTATGGAATATGCACAAAAACAGGGTAGATGTTTGGAATCACAGCACACTAAATGGGAAGGAAAAACAGATTTTAGATAGAGATACTTAAAAATATGCAAAAGCTTGGAGGCAAAGGAGTATTTCTCAGCTGTAAGAAATTCAGTCCTCTGCTTCAAATTAGGCAAAATGAGGACTTCCATCTCCCAGCTGAGTGTTGTAGCTGTTGGATTTTTTTTTTTAGGTGTGTCTGAGCAGGAGGACAGAGCCCTCCCTTGCTCCCAAGCATGTGTCAAGTGTCCTCGCTGATCAAGACAGCATCTGGATGTGTCCCACCCCCTCTATCTTTTCTTGAAAAGAAACCCAGGCCTGTGACTGGGGAGAAGTAGCTCCTGCATGATGTGGAGATCTCTGTTTTTTTGAGGAGTCTGGAACTACAGAAAGTAATGGACCCTAGTTTAGATACAACCTGTGCCTCCTCCCACCCTTCCTCTTTTTAAGCGAGCAGATTCCAGCAATCCAATAGCTTGAGAAGCCCAAGTTGATTGACATGCCTTATTGACAGTGTGAGCAGGATCTGGTCATTTTACATGAGATTATTCAGGACTTCTTGCCCGCTACGCTGGCTTGTTGACTCAGCTCCCAGGCGTTGTGTGCTGAACTTGAGATCTCCAGTGCTCTGCGGATCACACCGACTTCCAGTGGGCAGCAAGGTATCTGAAGCAGGCTCCCAGTCTTTAGCTGGAATTCCCTGGGCATAGCTATGCATGCAACACAGCTCTGCAACAGGAATTTTATTGACTGTGTATTGTCTCTTTACATGCAGTAAAGCCCCTGAAGCCAGAAGACACTGCCTGTGTGCACTTGCCACTGGCCACCTGTTGTGCACACTGGTTGTGTCTGGGATTTCTGGATATTGCACAACTTGGACAGAGTCAGTCTGGTGTCCAGCATCACAGTCAGATGTTTCAAGTTCCCAAATTCCACGTGTAGCACCATTCTGGGTGCAGAAAGGGTACCCGTTTGGGGAAACCTAGGAGGGATAGTATTTCCAACCTAAAATGAGAACTGCAGTGCCTAAGACCCGTTGTGGGTTCAGCCTGTCACAGGTAAAGTTTCAGTGCTGAAGTTGAAAACATTATGGAAACTGTATAATAAATAGTCCTCAGTTTGCAGAAAGCAGCATCATTAGTTAAGTGTATATTTTCATGTAGTGTCTGAGCTATTTAACTCATTCCAAGGCAGAGAGCTTTACACCACAGACCTGCTATCTTTTGTGATATGTATCATTACAATCAAGTAGTGCAGTGAATATGTACATATCGTAAAGATTTTGTAACTCTTTAATCCCCTGTTAAAAATTCATTAATTGCTTAATCTGGTCAGTCTGTAATGACTGCCTCCGTAGCACTTGTGTATTTTTGGTCTCCCTAGGCAAAGCAGGTGCTGCTGGTATTAAGGGTTTTTGTCCACAGGAAACCATCCCAGGAACCTTGTTTATGAAAGTAATATCTGGAATTGCGGGGTGAGGATTCACCTTCAGTGGTGGAAGAAAACCTGGTCTTGTGTGAGCATAATGATCCAACAATAAGGCTCCTGAGCCATGTCTTTCTAGACAAGCTTTATTGCTCCTGCTCAGAGTAACAGGAGGTGTGTTCTCCAGTACTTCTCTAGAACTTGGTAACAAAGAGTGAGATGGAGAAAGAATCTTTTTCTTTGCTATCACTGACTTACTGTCTTCTGCAGCAGCAGGACTTAGAATAGTAAACTGAGAATCAGAGCTGTAGTGATTTGTTCCTAAATTCCTTCTCTGGATAATACTGCTGAGGTTTGAAACAAAGCTGATTTGTCCTGAACTGGCATCCTTACCCATAGGAATCCCACTGGGGTTATGATTCTCTTCAACACAAGGAGTCTGAGAGTTCATCTCTTCATATGATAATTTCCTTGATCCAGTTTGATCAAAGGTTTTCAATAAATGAGCAGTGTCTTTTATGTCAATACTTTGGTGTCTGGTGATGAATTTCTTTGACAAGGCAAGGCCATTGATTTTAAAAGAGAGTTCTTTTGGAGTAATATCCTTAAGTTCCTTTTTTAAAGAGGCAATTTTATTCTGGTGAAACAGTGACGGAGAGCCCTTTACCCAATGCTCAGACTGTAGCCGCTGCACTTGTGCCAGCCTGGAGCCTACTTTCGTTGAGCTGGATTTTCTTTTTGGTGAAACTGTTTGAGATGAATTGTCCACTCTTCGTGGATGATCCAGCTCTTTAAAGCTCAATAGTGCTTTTTGAGTTTCATTTGAACTTGAAAATGGGAATGGAGAGGTTTTCAGTTCTATTTCTGATGGGGAAATGCAACCAGTTGGGGAATGGCATTCCTCGAGGTCTGCAGGAGGCATGTTCAGGTACTGCTTCGTTTTTTGCCTTCCTGATGGGGACTTGTCTGTTGTGATGATGATGACTTCTTTTCCTTGTGCCCTGCAGGCATTGAGAAGAATTTTCAAGGTCTCTTTGTCTTCAGAGTTTATTGCATACACAAGTGCAGAGCAGTTGGAGTGATCTTGCAGGCTTAGGTCAGCTCCACTTTTCAGTAGCAGAGAGACCACTTCAGGGCCTGCTTTTTCCAAACAAGCATGCATCAAGGCTGTCTTTCCAGATTTGTCCTGTATGTTCGGATCAGCCTTGTTTTCCAGTAGGTATTTAACCATCTTTGCCTTGCTGGCACTCTGGGAGTCCACATGTTTTGTCTTACAAGCAATCATTAACGGAGTTTCACCTCTGTCATTGCTCTCGTTGATGTAGGCACCACGCTCTAGTAACAGCCTGGTGAGGCGAAGGCGGCTTTGATAGACAGCTCTTATCAGGGAGTTCCCCTCCGCTGGCAAGTCCGCCATTTTGGTCATCACACTTGTCACACACCTTCCTAGTGGCTGGAAAGAACACCTGGTTTCCAGAGAAAGCAAAGAGGCCCCCCAGAAAAAAAGAAAATAGAAGAAAAGAGATTTAACTGTACAAACTGCTCCTGTAAACACCCCCATACTTTGTGAAAAGAGTATGAAGGGGGGGGGGGCTATTCCCACCTCCTAGACTTCAAGAAATGCATTAAAAATTTACAATAATAATTTTCTGAGGTAATCACAACCTTTATAGATGCTTAAAGCATGGCTGTCACCTTTTTTTTCCCCTCCCTTTTGTCATACTCTGCCAAATAGGCTGCAAAAAAGTTTAATTCTCCACACTCTAATGGCTTTATACTGACTACACCCAAGTGGCTGTGCTACAGTTGTACCACTCCTGATTTTTATCAGTGCAAGAAGCAAGAACTGAATGAATCCTGCAGCACTTTTTTCCACTTATGTGAGATAGAATAAGTGAATGTGACACTATCTCACAAAATGACAATGCTAAACATCTAGAAATTAGAATCGCAGAACCATAGAATCATAGAATATCTCAAGTTGGAAGGGACCCATAAGGATCATCAAGTCCAACTGGGACTCAGCTGGGAAGTTCGTCCTGGCCCCTGGGAAGACTTAGTGAGAAAAAGAAAGTTCATGGGTCTTAATGAGAAAAGCAAGCATGGTAAAATATTTTTTTTACCTAAGAAGAAAGTGTTAAATGGCTAGAAAATAAATATTATTGTATTTTATAGAAGTAATTACATCTGTGGAAGTACACTACCTTCCTTATGCTCCTTTGAAAACATACTAGTCTGAGTGAAACAGCATAAACGAAGTGATGCACAGCCTGTCCCACTCATTGTGGGTATCAGTGGGCTGAGATGAGTCCTGTACCTGGGCAGACAGTATCAGCTCTAAAACAAAAGAAACATTTGACAGCATCAAAGAAAAGCTGGAAGTTTCACACAAAAAACCTAAGAGCTTAATGTGGTATAAATAATGAAAGGTTTTGTATGAATGTATACCTACATACATGCAACTAGTACAATTAATTTTTTTTTATTTATGTCTTTTATGTACTTGCTTACCCATATGTAGGGAAAATCTTCAGACAAAAAAAAAAATCAATATTTAACAGTTGACAGAGCAATATAATTCCAAGACAAGATTAGACATGGATATGAAAATTACATTTGTTTATTTACAGTATATTTGCAGAGAAGTAAAAATGTTTAATTAGTTTAACTGCAAAGGAAATTAACAGAGACTTATATTTATTTACCATTGAAAGCACTAGTCACATTCTGGTGAATAACTGAAGAGCAGTAATTTTGTTCTGTTTTTCTTTGATACTGGAGTTTTACTTTGATTTCCAAAATCAAAGGGTGGTATCAATGTAGTTCATTCCAAAAGTCCAACGAACAAAAAAAAGTAAGTTGAAATACACTTGACATTTTTATCACAGATTTCCTCCTCTCCCTCCCCCTGTTTATTTCACTCCATAGCATCATGCTCTGCAGATACAGGTGCTTTTGCTGAGCAGTGACATTCAGTGGCTTGTCAGTCACCATAAGAACAGTTAGCTAAGGGTCTTCATGCTTGCAATGTGTTAAGTATTTATTAAATATAGCTGTTGTCTGGTGACAGGGTGTAACAATGGTCACACATAGTGTGTGTTTGGGGAAGATACCTCACAATATTTGGGATGTCAGGAAAAAACACAAGTGACAAATGCATGAGATGAACCGGTTCACCTTTGGTAGCACTTATTTCTGGGCTTACGGCCCTCACAAAGACTGTTCATTGTGTATGTGTGACTGCAGTCCTGTTCTGAGCAACTGAGGAGGATGAAAGGGGGCCAGACCTTCTCTGTCCACCCTCATGGGAGCAAACGTCCCACTTCTGATCACTGCTGGGAATGGGGGTACCACTGTGGTACTATCATCTTCTTTTGACCGGTGGTTGTTTTTTTTCCCCTCTGTCTTGATAAAACATTTTTTAAAAAGTAATTGCATTGAAATTACTTTAAGGATGCATTCAATTATACTGCAAGTACATGATTCAGTAGTGTCTATCTCAGCTTTCATTGATGTGCAAATCATTATTATGAAATGCATATTTCTGACAAGTAATATATTCAAGATTACTATCAAGTCTTTTATAAAAAAGTATCCAATTAATTTGTGCTTTGGGTTTCCAGAAACAAACTAAAGAGAAAAACCTTTTAGATAGCACACCTGCTGGAATTCTGTGTTCTCCCTTGGTTTTGACCTACCTGGAAGTCGCCGGTGATTTTACATTTCTTTCATACTTATCTAAAGCTCTTCTGATACTTATCTGCTTGCTTTACTTAAGTGATGGCATATACCACTTCTTAGACAAGTCTTTTCACCTGCAGAAATACCTTTTACGGCCAAAAGAACATTCAACAGGCATGGAAAGAGAAGAATGCTACTTGAAGTCATGCAGCAGATCAACGCTAAAAATGAGACTGTCTTTCTGACATCCGATCTAATGCCTCCAATTGCTTAAATTCACTGTCTCCATTGACTTTACGAGGACTGTCAATGTCAGTGAGAGAGGAGGAAGGCTAGCCTAACCCAATAGCTAAATTTTGAAAATTTGGAGTAGACTGTGTTGCCAGGATATTGTATGAACCTGGCCTGGAGAAAGCCCAAGATGTTTTTGTGCAGGCAGGTCAGCAGCTCCAGCGTGCCTGAGATCTCACCGGTGCTTGTAGGTACTAATAAATTTCATTTCAGAAACCCAACTAATCATTATATACGCAGCCTGGGACTGTCAGGTCTGCAAAGCAGACTGGCTAATCCCTGAAAGAAGGACCACAGGCATCAGTGGTACAAAGATCCAGCCACATTATTTATATGTTGATCTACACTTTGCACTGCAAAGGAAAAGGAGGCTGCATGGGGGAAAGGAAAGTGGAGAAAGAAATATAAAATGGGGAATAAAAATCCACAAATACTTCAGAATTAGATACTATATGATTAAAAGGAAGCGTTACAGATTTGCAACTGGAACAATATAATGCAGAATACATTCCTGAATGCTGGATGAAGATAACCATGATTTCATCTGGAGAATCTGTTAATTACAGGAGAATGTGCTGGGGGCTGCATCACCCTAAAATTTCCACTCTGGGAACAAAGTGCAGCTGGACTTACTTAAGACCCAGTGACACTGGCTCAGTGGAAATACACATGCCACACCTGGACTGGGTACAGCCTGCTCCAAAAAAAACCAAAGCTAGCTATCTTGAAGTGAAAGATCACAGTTCAAGCAGATACCCTAAAAGAGTAATTTATTTGAGAATTCATCACAGATTGATGCTGAACAGGTCGGGACTATAAAACATTCCTAAATCTAATTAACTGCAATGTCAGAACCACTACATGTGTTACTGGGATGTCAGGACTGACACAGCTGCTCTTCAGCTGTGGAGGTAAACTTGTGCCAAGATAGTAGTTTAATGAACAAGGAACTATGCAACCTAGTCCGTAACAGTGAATCATGAACTGGTCTTTCAGATCATCCACAAATTTCTGGTATTCTTGTACAACTAATATTCCTGGAACACTCTTTCTGTCACTTTATTTTCAAAAAGCAATATTGTCCTGGAAAGTGCTCTGAGATCAAGTAGCACAAAGAACTGCATAGTATGAAAATCAATTTCTGAAGCCGATGATGACTTGTTTCCAAGAAGTAGATAGCCACTGTTGTGGATTTGTGCTGGGTCCTGTTCTGAGGTCAGGCTGGCAAATATCAGAGTGATAACCCAGAGTCCTATTGTGATACGGGTCCTGCTGCCATTGTAGTGGGAAAAGCCACTAAAACTTCAAAGTTTTAGCACTTCCTCCTCCAACCTTTGCTTCTTGATTTTTAAATAGCACTGAATTACTAAAAAAAACCCCTCTCACAGTGTTTTGTTACATCTAACTGTAAATAATCACAAAATTCGGGGGGTGGGGGGGAAGCTCATTGACCTTATAATGTGTAAAAAATACAAACATGACCAACATTTTCACTGAATAAAGGAGTGCTATGAATCAATGTTCTTGCAAGGTGTTCCTCACTTTTTCAATGTGAAAGCCAAATTTTCTGCCCTCTGTGCCTCACCCCTATTGGAGTTACACAAACAAGCTTTCACAGTAGTGTTTAGAGAGTCTAGAATCACTCCAGTAAAATTAAGTCATCGATTCTCATCTCTGAAAAAAGATGTGTGTACATGCTTAAAAAGCATAAGCCTTTAAATATTTTGGTGATTTTTCATATCCACATTAACCCTGTAAATTCTCTCAGTCAGTGTAACAAGAACTCGGATTTCCTATTCTGTCGTAAACACATTGAAATTTACCACAAGAGTAACTTTTGATGAAAAAAATTACCACTCTAACACAGCCAAAACTACCCCCTCCTCCCTCCTCTACCCCCCCCCCCCCCACATTTGTCAGACATAAGGCCAGCTTGGAAACCTAGCCTGTAAAGTGCAACTTTCCATAGCGAAGCATCTGTCTCTTCAGCCTTGCTGTTTTCCAAGGTTAACTGCAGGATGGTCAGGATCTGCAGGTTTCTCACCCATCTTCTCACTTGGGATCTCCTGTCTTTGTACTTCTGAAGAAAGTTGGGAGAGGTTCAGCCAGCTCATTAAGTACTTTTTTCCTGTCACAGTATTTATCATCTTTCCGAGTACTCTTTCTCATTTGGAGGTGTTTCCTATGGCACTAATTACTGCCAGAGAGTGGTTGGAGCATGGTGGAGAGCACTAGGAGAGGAAAGTTTTCACTGGGGCTCTACATTAAGGTCAGTGTTGTCGCTCACTCCTGTTTCACAGCATCCTGACTCGTAACCTAACGGCTCTAAAGTTTTTCCTGAGGGAGATCTGGAAAAAACATGGACAGGCAACTTCTCTACAGAGAACACACCTGAAAGATATAAACGCAGGCTAGAAGAGTAAGCATGTTAAAGGCTTTTCCCTTAAAAATCCA